CAAGAAAATATAGGTCTCATAACTAAATACGATTGAAGTCTGAATTGATTAAACGTCATAAAGGAACTTTCTTGCTAAATTTGACAAATAGTTCAGATATAATTTCTGTCTCTGTTGTCTATATTGATTAAATACAAAACATATATGGTATCGCAGTGCTGCTTACTAATCACTTATTCGTTTTAGCTAATTTTTTGTACCTAAATCATTCTCGCTATAATGGCAAGATTTCTTTTTTCAGTGAATAAACTATACTTTTTTTTGTGCAACTGAAGAATTGTTGAACCAACCATTGGATCAAACAACTGTACAAATTTAGTTCGTACAATCAATTTTTTTTCTCACTGTAGATTTAGCCACTTTGGCCACAGGTAAACGGAACGAAATAATTTACAATTAGTATTATAAGCTAAATGTGTCAGTAGCTAGTTCAAACTTTTCGGTCATTGCTAAAAGTTGGCTATTAAAAATAAAATATAATTGTTGCCAGATACAACATCCCTATTTTAAAAGACACATTTTAGCTGCCACAGCTATATTTTTAGCTGCGTTGGCTACTCCTTTCTCGCGTGTAGGCCCGTTTAGTCAGCAGAGAAAAATATTTCTCCGTTTGATTCTTGATTTTTCATCGGAGCATCGATTAAATCGTAGTCTTTTCAATTGGATTATTCGGAGGAGAAATAGGAAACACACAACACCGATTTTCGCCGAATCGGGTGCGGAAGCAAAACGAACGAGACGTGACGTAACGAACCGATTGCTCAGCCATCGTGAGCGGAAGACGATTCTGCTGCTGAAGAAAAGAGAAATGTACCCGAAGCACGGAATTTTCACTGGCGTCACGTATTTCAAAAAATATATATGTACGTATATAAAATACAAAGGATACACACAAGACAAGATCCGATTTTACAGGATGAATTGTTTCACATGAAATCTGGTAAATCTAATTTCAACTGCGATTTAGTAAACAAACAATTCGAATCGCTCAATATAGATTCTACAAACTTTAAAGTATTAAATTCTCTCTCTTTCAGATAAACTTAAAAATGTTTGTTAATATAACATTATTTAATAAAAAAACGTCATATAATATTTATTTTTTAAATTATAATAATGTTATAATAATATTTAATAAAAATATGTTTTAGTCATATTTCGTAACTATAAATTAATATAGTTTAAGCATCGTAAAAAAGGATTTCTTATTTCAAATTAATGATAATTTATTTCATCTTCTGAAAATTTATGAGAAATATAGGTACTCTTTTAATTAATTAATAATTTTAAATAATTTCTCTAAGTATGTGGAATAAAAAATTCTACCAGTTAAATCGCGAGTTAACGTAATCAGACGGTAAACAATGTTTCGTACGTTAGAAAAGCACACAAAGAGCTCGTAATATTTAGACTTTTGACAAAGAACTTATGGCGACCGAGTTGCGAATAATGCCGGGGTAGAAAAATAGCTTGCAGTCAACTTATCGGACGCCATTGTCGAGTTACTGCAACTTTTTCTACGCGTAGAGAAGAATTTCGTCGCGTTAGCGTTCTCGCATATAAAATGTCGACATAGAACAAGAACGTTATCCTTATGGAAGTTGTTATTCACAGA